GACAATTTAATCACTCTTGTTTAGCATGAATTATTGACAGGTAATAGCACCTGGGGAGCCATCAGGCTCAGGTGAATAACACAGGGATGCCTGAGGCTTAAGCTGCTTGCAGCCGCCTGAACTAGCCGCTGTGCAGCTAATAATACAGCGGTCACCGCTGTCCACCTTCTGCAGTCGAACACACAGAGACCGGAAGAGCAAGAGTGAGCCAGGAGCCAGCATTGTCCATGCTCTGTACCTCTCCACCAGTCCCCTTGGGGCCAAAGACCCCCTTAAAGGAAGTTCCAAAGAAGCATTTCAACTGTGTGTCTATAACCACAAAGATTCAAGAAGGGCCCTTCTCCTTCTGGCTAGAATTTTACTATGGGAAACAGAGGCAAGCCAGAAGGTCTCCAACATGGTGGACAGGTGGACAAGGAGAACAGGGGCTGCTCTTTCCACTTTCCACCGCCTCATCTTTGGGCTTTCTTTCATTTTTCTCTGCCCTTTTCTGTGCAGTGTTTTTGCCTCCCTTGTAATCCCCCCTTCTTTCCCTTTCCTTAGCACCCCTCCTCCATAGATCCATCTCCAAAGACCGTAGACTCCTCCACAGACCAAAATGGAAATTCTGTCTAGGAACTGCTTTCAACTACCCATATTCCCTTCATTTGCCCTTAAATCTGAAAACCATTGACATCTACCCTCAGCTTCTATACATCCCAGTTGACTTGTGCTTATTTAAGCCCTGCATCTCCCTAGAAAAGAAGTTCTTCCTGCAACTTCAGAGGATTTACAGTTTTTAAAACATATTTTACTTTGGCCTCCTTAAAATTCCCTCCCATGCTGCCATCTCTGGTGGCTCTAAGATTCAGCATCTCCCACCTCCTCTACATCTATAGGGCCACAGTTCAGTTCCTAGTTGGAAGAGGAGATCAAAGGATATTGAAGACCTCCCCACCTTAACTTACACTTGCTGGCTCCTGACCATGAAGATGGTGTCAAATGTCTCTAGAAGCCCCTGACTCCCGCCTCCTTCTGTGTGTACCGGCCTGATAATTGTCCTCCCAACTTAGATACCTGGAGTCTCACCAACAAAACCCCAACCCCTCAGCCTTCCACATCCCATGACACTCTTGCAACTGAACCAGCCATCCTATCTTGCAAATCAAATTGAGATAAGATTAGAGACAGTGAATACAGAGAAGCAGAGAGCAGAGCTTGGGGAGTGGGGAGGGATGCCAACTGGACCCAGATCTTCAGGGGGTCTAAAATGGAATTTATATTAGATCTACCCCCTAAGTTCTGGACAAGAGTACTTAAAAAAAAAAAAAAGCAGCATTTCTGTAGCAGGGCAGCTAGTAAAATACTTATGTGCTCCTGTGACATTGCTTTTGACTCCTGTTTCCGAGGAATGTAGAATTTCAGCGACTCTGATATTATGGCCATTGTCTCAATGGTACCAATGGATTGTGCAGACCTGTTCTGTGGGGCCTGTCCATGACTTAGCCAAGAGCCAGCCTTCCCTAGAGGGAATCAGAAGGTAATCTGCACCTTTCAAAGTCAGCATGTCCAGGAGGGTGCAGCAGTGGCATATGATCTATTCAAAATGCTCTACAATGGCCTGATCTTGAGAGAATATTCTGGAAGACAGCTTGGTTGGGTATTACAGCCTAGATATCTACTACCAAGCCTTTAATTCCTAGTAATCCTTGCCTCCTGGCAGTGTTAAAAAAAAAAAGAAAGGAAAGGAGAGGAAAGGAAAGGAAGGTCTCCTTTTTATATGGTTAAGAGCTACTTTTCAACAACCTTTTAGTTCTCCAGGGAGACTATGTAATGTTAACAACTGGAAGAATCCCCTCCATCTAGAAGAATCCTCTCTTCACCAGCCTCTGGTACTCCCTGAGCTTCATCCTTCAGTGTCTTATGCATGGTCTAAAGATGGTCCCTCAATGAAAAGGAGGAGTGAGGACATTCCAGAAACTAAGACTTCATCCACTGAGGTGATAACGTCTCATTTGATCCTGCACTTAATTCAGAAAGACAGGTTTCCGCAGAGTATCTCCTATTTGCTGCCCAGTGCCGCTCATGTTGTCATTGCCAGTCATACCAAATCTAGGTAATCTGCATAAGTACACTGAAGTAAGGTGATTGGGTTTTCTTTTCTATCTTAACCTGTTAGCTAGAACCACTAGCCCTTAGCCTGTTAGCTAGAACCACTAGCCAGGACTCTTTCTGAAAATGTTCCACCTCTGCCTCACCTATGGAATAATCACATTTCATTTATACAATTGCATGAACAAATTAAGTGCCCAATATCTTTAAACCCCTTGAAAATTACCAGATCATTAGAACACAAAGATGAAATCATTGGCTGCTCAGTGCCTACCATTACTGGATAGAACGCCGTATGAAAGCTCAGCCAGAATGTTCAGAGTAGGTAAGCAGCTCTGTTGGCTCCCTCTCGAAGGGTAGTACAGGTAGGGTCTCCAGGCTCATAGGGCACGAGTCTTCAGGGAATCTTTCTGCCCGTCCTCCCCAGGAAGACCACAGATAGGGAAACTATAAGCTACCTCGGGGGAACTGGGAAGAAATCTGAGAAAGGGTCAGAGATGGATGGTGTAAGTACTCCAGGCTACCAACCAATTCTGAATTTAGGTCAAAAAGTAGAACCAGTGCTAGGTGGTCTTTCAAGGCAGGGTACCAGGGAATCACAGAGAGTAGCAAACGCACAAACATGGCTCTGGGCTAAAGGTGCAGACGCCCAAACCCAGCAGGTCCAGTCTCCCCTCCTAGGTCACCAAGGGATTCTACTTGCAGCCGGGCAGGGTACCAAAGACTGGAATGACTACACAAGATTATCTAGGAAATGTCCTTAGGGGGTTGGCTGTATGTCAGTAAACTGGGCTCTCTGAGGGTGAGGGCTGTATGTTAGGCTTCTTCCTATTGTTTCCACTTAGAAATCACCCAATGATTGTTTTCTGATTTTATTATGAATGGTTAGTTATTTTTGAGACCATGGATCTTATGAACATAGTTCTTCAGTTATGAACAGGCCTACATGAGACATTGACAAATACTGCTCTAGCAGGTCAAAAGTGCCCTCTGAATAGCATAGCTTAAGGTCCAAGAAAAAATTAATCTGTGATTCTCCAGATTCTCCCAAAGTGAGACTCTTAGGAAAGCTATCGTTACCTGGACTGAGAACTCAACATAGGAGTCCCAGAGAGCCCCATCCTTCCTCTCCCTACTGCCCTCGTTGCTCCTTCTGTTTCTTGACTCCTACCATAGAGATGTATCCTAAGGATTATTAATACATATTGTTAAAATAATAAGATACAATCAAGGTGGTTAGAATATACAAACCCAGGCAGGTTCTCTAAATTGTCTCCGTTCTGGTCCCGTTCAGGACGGGATTGACCCAGAGGACTCTCAAACAGTTGCCCAGGGTTCTTAGGAGTGATGGGCAGCTTTGGCAGTTTTCAGGATGGATCCAAGAGGAGAACAATGGCCCACGCCTGCTGGGAACTCTATCTGATGCCCTGGCATTGCATGTAGTATAGATTTACCTCCATCTGACCCTCACACTCCCTCCGCACTGAAGCTCTAGAAACACAGAACTCAGCCATTAACACGCAAGGACAAGCACTCAAGTGGCTAGAGATGTCTTCCGTGTGTGTGTATGTGTATGTGTGTGTGCATGCATGTGTGTTTCTATGTTCTATCTCAGCCTGCTAGCCAAATTCTAGTGACCCCACAGCCTCCAGGCCTGTGGACTGACCTGGCAGCTGGTATTCCTCCTGAAGCAGAAACCAAGATCTAGAATGTGCTCTGTAAGGGACTAGAGAGGTGTCCCTTCCCTTCTTTTCCCTTGCCTCACCGTTTATCTCCGTCATTCCTGAAAAAGGACATTTTACCAATTTGCTGTAGGGAAAAAGGAATTTGCTGAGAAATCTGTTACCAAAGAAGTATTTTCAGTCTGCGAGCAAATGTCTAGTTGTGCACATTTCCATCCTTCAAAAATTCCATTACACGTTTCCCTTGTTTGTACCTTAAAAACAGAAACACAAGAGCAACCATCTGAAAGTGGAGGGTAAAAGCAATGTCATGATCTTCTAGAAAGAGTTAACAGCTCAAATGATCAGGACCAGTCAGGGGCTGAGCTCTGAGTGCTGGGGCCCAAAGAGTAGGGGCATCTTCCCAGATACGAGCTCAAGGAACTGGAAGTTGCCGTGGGGTACTCACCGGTGGCCAGTTTCTTCAGCTCCTGCCCCAAAATGAACTCAGCAGTCAGACCCATGAAAGCAGCTATTTTGGGTGTTAATAATAATATCCTAAATCATGTGCAGAGCTTTAAAATGTCGAAAGTATTATTTCACACCGATAGCCAAGCCTCTCCACACCTATAGACTAGTAGCTAAGCCAGGCCATCTCTGCCTGAACCTAAGCTTAAGGACCAGCCCCGCTGCAGAGGGGCTTGCGGACCACCTCTTTAGATCCTCCTTTAGCGATAACTAAAACTGAGTTTTCCCCTAAACTTCAAGGGCAATTCCCTTGACCTCCTTTGCTCAAATATGTTTGGACAGGGACATGCACTAGGGCATAAGCAAAGTCTTTCTCCTCCAGCTGGCAATGCCCAGGGTGAGCTAAAGTGCAGAAAGTACAAGCCCTCAAAGGTTATCATAGAACACATAACTCATTTTAGAAAACAAAACCAAACCTCCCTCCACAAAATTCAGAAGACCTTGTGTGTAACAAGTGTGTGAATTATTTCGTTTGTGGCCAGAGATGGTCCTGAGGGGGAATGCCTTCGGGTCCTCCCTAGACGTGAGACCTACCTGTGCAGAGCCCACACTCATGGTGATGTCCCTGTCCCTGCCAGGCCTGTGCTTTGTATTTCTTTCACTTGTTTCCTTTTGCCCTCTCCTGCCACGGTGTTGCTCCTGTGTTAGCCAAGACCTAGAGTACCAGGCATCTTCGTTGGAGACTCATTACAGCTTATTTCTATCTGCCTTTCTTTAAAGCCAGCTGAACATACCCAATGCTCTCCCTTTATGGTAAGACCAACCCTCCAGACCACGCTCTTAGCTTCTGTGACCCTCCTCTAACACCCCCACTCTCACCCCCCCGCCCCGGTGTCCAGCATCTCTGGGAGCCCAGCCCTGCTCCCGCTGCATGTAGCCACCATGTCTGTCCTGCGCCTCGCCTGCCCGGTCGCGTGTGAGCTGTGACGTGCTGTTGTGTAATGGTGTTCCATTCCCTCCCTGAGCTTTTCTCTGGGTGATAATTCACTGTGATCTTGACCATCTAATGAGCCACCGGGAGAGAACTGGACCCAAGGGCCATTTCCTGTTAAACATTCTGAGGACTCCACGGGCTAAAGTCTCTAGCTTTAATCCGATGTGGGGAGTTTGCACAGGGCGCCCATGAGCACCCTGGTAAGGGCCTCCTGAGAAAAAAGGAAGGAGAGAGGGATGACCCAGCCCGGAGACAGAAAGTCAGACAATGGCTTCCCACTAATCATCCAGGATCTGTAACTCCTGGCCTCCCGTGTGCTCTGAGTTTAAGGCCGCAGTAGACGGTTGTAAGCTGGAATCTGTTACTAAGAGTGTGGCTGAATATCCAGTCACTCCAACAAAGTGACCCATGAATTTTTCTAAATTCCCGAAGTTCATTCAAATTAGGCTATGCAGAAAAACAAACTCAGGGGTTTGATGGGACCACTCCTGATGTAGGACTGTGATTCCTTTGCCTAAAGTGATAGATGCCGCTAGGCATGACCTTGAAGTCTCCTTGGAACAGGCTCCTCTAAAAAGCTGCCATCACACGTTTCAAAAGTGAGCCGAGTGTGAGTTTTTAAAAGGACCTGTGAGTGGGTTGAGTCCCTGAAAGTCAGCAGACTGGGGGCAAGATTGGGTCGGCGGCTGGTGCTTCCTAACACAGCGCGTCCCAGGCTGGCTGGAAGGCCGCCCAGGAAAAGGCTGAACCTGGACGTTGTACCCCGCTTCCCAGGGGCCGCCACTGGGGTCTGCTGTTCCACTGCATTGTCATTTGGTTTATTAGAGGACATTTTTGTGTCTACGAGGAAGTGTGTTTATCCTCCTTCTAGAGCATTAGGAAACTGCAGCTACTGGGGGGAGCGTGCCTACAGGGGGCGGGGTTGAACCCAGCATGGAATTCAAACCATACGCTTGACTTTTATTTTTTAACTCATCAAATCGAGATGCCCCTGTGGCACCAACTTCTCACACTCCTGACACTCACAGCTGAAGTTCCCGGCTTTAGCTTGTTCTTTCTTCTTTTTTCTCCTTCCCGGAACATGGTGGAACTGACAGCTGAGTTATAAAACCCCGAGCCTCCTCTGCCTACTCCTCTGGGGGAACACAACCTCCTTTTAAGGAGAGAAAATAGAATTTCAAGTAGATACACGGGTGATAGAAATGCAGAGATTAAGGGCATCAGAGGCTTCAAAATAGGCAGGCAGGGTAGGGCCCAGGGACAGGACGGGGGCTGCGGCTGGCCTTCCCTCCCCAGCCCCGCGGCAGCCTGCGGAGCAGGCCCCCTGTGCGGATCTAAGGCAGCTCTGGTTAGAAACTAGAAGAAATACTGTGACTCTCCCCAAGTCTGGAGATTCGGAGAAGTAGGGGAGCCCCTTCCGGCATGGTTTCTGCGCAGCCCTCCCAGGGCAGAGCGAGGGTGTGCTGGCAAGTGGCAACTGCCTCTGGAGTTTTCCGCTGCCCTCGTGGGTCTCCCGTGCAGAGCAGGAGTAAGATGGGTGGCCTCAGGAACCACTGGCCATGTCAGGGACAGTCAGCAGGCCACCGGGTTAGAACAAAGGGCCGGTGGGAGCCCTCAGGGGCATCAGCACTAGGAGGATTTTCAGGGGTGCAAACAAGGTGTGGACGTTGTCAGGGAGGATTGGCCTGTAAATGATTCAAAAGAAAGCAGAGAATCAAGAAGTGGGGGGGCCAGCATAGATTCTCCCCGCCACTGACCTGGAGACCCCCCCCCTCCCTTGAGGGACGCACGCAACAGGGACAGTAACAGGAAGCCCAAAGGTCCAGTCTCTCCTGGTGCCAACAGGGCTGGGTGAGCTGCACTAGCTCCAGGGGACAGGCAGGTGGCTCCCCAGGGGCTACTGCCACGGGCTCTCTGGCCAGCATGGGCAGGAGGAGGGGCGGGGGGCGGTCAGTCCGTGTTGTGCTCAGGTCTGGAGGTGGAGGGTGACAGGGCAGCCTGTCCTGCCCCTGAGCCCTGGCCAGGCACGTGCCCCAGCCCCGGGCCCCTCCAGGTCCCACAGGCTGAGGAGGGCCCTCAGCCAGCAGACCCCAGCGGCCCTAGCACCGTGTTCCTGCCTCCACTTGGCTTGGCTTGGATCCAGTTCTTCCTCATCTTCCCCTTGCTTCCCCTTTGCTCCAGGACTCCCCTGAGGACATGATCTGCCCTAAGCAGAACCCCTCTGTCCTCCTACACCGGGGCCCAGACTCATCTAGGGCTCACTTAGAGTGTGCCTCTCACACCTTCTGGGGTCTCCTGCAGCCTGGAGAGGGTCGGGGCCTCCCAGAGGCCCCAGAGCTGGAGGGGGCGGGGGACTAGCAGGGGAATAGCTTCAGTGTCTGAGGTGAGGCAAGAGCTGCAAACAGACACTCTCCGCGGGCTAAGCAATGCCCCTAGCCCCACCGTCCCTGTAGCCATGTGGGAAGAGGTGGCACAGCAAGACTTTTGGAGTCCTGAGCTGCCAGGGCACAAGATCCCTGTGGTTGGCAACCCACTCCAACCCTAGTCTCTGTCAGCCCGCCCTGCCCACCAGGACCCCCAGTGCAATCATACCTGGGGCTGGGACGGAGGCCACGACCCGCCCAGCCACCTTGCTGAGAGCCAGATCCCATTCGGGATGCATGGCACCCCGCCAGGCCAGACAAGAGGGGGGCTGGGGCTGCTTCCTCAGCATGCAGCAGAGGAGGGTGCGCCCAAGGCAGCTAGCTCTCAGCCTCGATGTCAAAGCATATGGAAGTTCCTTATGGAATCTTCTGTTGCTCCACCCAGGGGGCTAAGAACTAGGACTGAAGGAGAAAAGGGGCGCACAGAGAAACAGGGTTATGGGCTCCAGGGCCTGGGCACAGCTTGGCTCTGCATAGGCCTCCGGCCTGAGTTATCTCCCTGGAAGAGGTGGGCAGCTGGCCTCCCCATCTGTGGCCCAGGGGAGAGAAGCTGGTGCAGCTAACCCTGCCCTGCCCTGCCCTGCCTCCACCCCAAGCAAGGGCTCTGTTGCTCAGAGCAGGGCCCACCTCGTTCTTGCCCTGCCCCCCTCTGTTGCTGTGTTAACTACCACCTCCTATTGCCGATGGATTCCAGAACGCAGAAGAGAACTCCCGCATCTCCATCACCTTCTTCCGCCTCTTCCGGGTCATGCGCCTGGTCAAGCTGCTGAGCCGCGGGGAGGGCATTCGGACCCTGCTGTGGACCTTCATCAAGTCCTTCCAGGTAACCACCTCCACCCTCAGCAGGCTGCAAGGAGAGCCTCCGCAGCTCACCTGGGCTCCCTGAGCGGGGAGGTGAGGCAGCACAGGAAGCCCACCACCGGGAGCCGAGGGCGGGCTTACCTTGCTACTCAGCCTCCCTCTATGCCCTTGCTTTCCTCCGGTCTATAATGAGGCCCTCGGACTCCATCCGTGGTTTTCAAAAGCATTCTCCTGGAGCCCCAAATTTCCCCAAAGTCGGGGTACAGAAGGCTGGGAGCTAAGGGGGAGGCTGAAGTGGTTCTGCTTTCTTCTCTCATCCGTGCATTTTTCCGCAAGAATTTACTGCACAAAGAGGTTTTGTGGTGGAAAATTTTTGAAAAACATGGGCCCAGATGATCTGATAACCTCAGTGGCCCTCCCGCTTTGGGCAGTTTTAGGATCCAGCTGTCACCTTCCTCCCAGTAGGCATTTCTGCAATGTCTGCTGTCCACACCTGTTTGTAGACCTAGCCAAACGCTCCAGGACCCTGGTGTCACTCCACTCAAGGAGACACGGCCCCCTCACAGGGGCACAGGGTTGCCTAACTATAGGATTAATTCTCTTTTCTCAGCCATTATTTTCCATCTGTGAAAGCAGAATAATGATCGCCCCTGGCCATCTCTGAGGAGTGTTATGTAAGTTTGAAGTTAAAGAGAAGCAAACCTGTGAGGTCCCTTGAATTCCTTGAAGATGAGTGGTGTAGAGACCCCTGCATGTACTTCCACGCTTCCTTAGCCCGACACTGACGGCAGCTTCATCCCACCCGCGGAAACACCACTCTCAGGCTTCCGGGCACTGAAGGATTCCTTCCTTGTCCCCCGCTCTAGCCAGTCTGGGCCCAGGGACAGGCACGGAGTGGGTCCCTGATCCAAATGTGCTCAGAACTGAAGTTGCAGCCAGAGGAAGGGCTCTGTGGTCAGGTGCCTGCCTTACTCTGGAATCCCCTCCCAAAGGCTTACATAAACACCCTTCCAGGCAGCCTCCTGCCCTGGGCCTCATCCGCCCAGGCCCTTCACTGGACCAGCCTGGCTGCACTCCCCATAGCCAGTCCTCTGCCCACCAGGCCTTCCTGATGAGCTGCAGCTGCCCTCCCTGTTAGCCCCATCCCACCCCACCCTACCCCACTGGTGGGTGCCGTACCCTGCCCAGTCCCTGGGAATCTGAGGATTCTGGGGAGAGCGGGACTGGGGGCTGACCCTGTCCGTGGGTGCACCCCTGGGGTCCCATAGCCATGATGACTATATAGGCTGCCAACTCACTCCCCCCCCCCCCACATACACACACACATAGTTCCTAGGAAAAGGCAAGAGACCCAGGTGAGGAGAGGCTTGAATGTGGACCTGCAAGCTCCAACCGGACAGAAGCAGCATCCATGTGCTCTCGCAGTGCCATCTAGTGGTGTGTGGATGCCCGGCAAGGCTTTTCCTAGTCGACCGTGTGGCTCTCGGGCTTCCAGAATAGGCCCTGAGCCCCAGAAGGCCTCTCCCCAGGAGAAGCAGCAGGGACTCCAGAAATTTAAGTTGTCTGAGCTGCCAGGCAGAGTGAATAAAATATATGGGACCCAAATACGTGGAAGGCATTGCACTCAGCCTTTTGTAAGCCTTTAAAGCATTTAAATGCCAGAGAACCCCTGAGAGGTAATTACATTTCTTCTCATTTTTCAGAAAAGGAAATGGAGGCTCAGAGAGGTTAAGTCATACGGCCAACCTCCCATAACTAGAAAGTGGCAGAAATAGGATTTGAGTCCATAACCTTTCTTCTACTTAAGTTTTTCCTTAGTGCTTATTTTTATTACGACTGGCAGGATATCGTCAAGCTATGTAAAGGAAGGGTGTAACCTGCCTCCAACCCACGCCTCCCCAGGAAACCTTGGTGTGTATCCTCCATGGCTTTCTCCTTGCTGTACAAAGACCTATGTCTAGTCGGAGGACATTTGCTCATTCTTGACTGTTTTTACTCAAGCAGTATCCCACCATATGTATCCCTTACTCTGCAGCCTACTTTGCTCGGTACACCACACTGCTTCTCAGGTGATTGAAACCGAGGGAAAATGAGAGGTCAGTGCCATGGTTCAGGCCTTCTCCTGGTGCCCAGAACTTCTGTGGGGCTCTTGGAAATGCCCCTCCCAAAGCCAGGCCGCAGCGCCCCCTGGGAAAGGCTCTGACCAGCCATCCCCCTGCCGGCCTCACGTCCTGTCTCCTGTGCTTCCTTCCAGGCCCTGCCCTATGTGGCTCTTCTGATAGTGATGCTGTTCTTCATCTACGCAGTGATCGGGATGCAGGTAGGACAGCTGGCCCGCTGCACCTCAGCCTCCTCTTTCTCTTCCCACCTCCCAGCCCCACGTTCCCGGACACCTCTCTCTTGTTCCTGACGGTCCCTCTCTCTGCTTCCACTTCTGCGGCCAAGAAGGTCACAGGAATTCAAACATCCCTTCAAATGGTGTCCTGTAGGTAGCAGGGTCAATGGCCATGGGCTGTATGCACCTTATCTCCCCTTTGCCCCAGGCCTGGTCTCTGCTCTCGGTCGGGGAAAAACACTCCCAGATTAACGCCAAGGGCCTCAGGAGAAACAGTCCCTTCCAGAAAACGACACGAAGGGTGTGTCAGACAGCATCCCTCCCCTTACCCAGGTCTGACAGCCTGAGAACTGCCCCCCACCCCAGCACCATTCAGGAGAAGCCAGTGACAGAGAGGGATGGAGGAGAGAGGGAGGGAAAGAGGCAGTCAGGCAGGCAAGCTCCCGCCATCAAACATGCAGCAGTTTCAAGGGCCTCCCCTCGCAGGTGCCCAATGCACCGTCCCCTACCTCAAACCCCATGGCATTCTGCAAGCAGCCTCTCCTCAGGGCTTCAGAAGGCGCCAGGGCCCCACACTCACACCAGCCAGGACTTTTCCTCAGTGGCTCCCGAAGGAAGATTCCCCCGCTTATTCTTTGCAGAAAGACCCCAGGTTCCTAGGCCAAAATCTTCTGAGATGAGAAGAGCTACCCTGCTCCCTCACCAAGGGTGGCAGCTTCTAAGATAGGTGTAGCTCTCAAAGGCCAGAAAAATAAGGGGGCCGCTCATGTCAGGGATAGATTAAGCTTGCCCGCGTCCCAGATCACTCCAAAATCCAAGAACTGTATTTGGAAGAGTGGGCATCTGGGCTGAAATGGCAATGAAAAGGAGGCCAGAGCCTTGAGTTCTGAGGACCTAATGGTGACTGTAATTGATAACAGTGCTGTGTACCTGAAAGTGGCTCACCACACCAAAAAAAAAGCTCCCTATGTTAACTGTGTGAGGTGATGGATGTGTTAATTATCTTGGTCTTGGTAATGATTCTACGAGCGTGTACATCAAATCACCACCATACTGTACACTTTAAATATATACAATTATATTTGTTAATTATTCCTCAATAAAGTTTTTTTAAAGAGAAAAAATATATATTCTCAAGAATCTGCAGCCAAAAAAGAAGAAGAAGGAGACCAGAGAGCCCTCTGTCCCCACACAGAAGCACGGTGCTGGTGGCAGCGTCCACCTGCTCTCAGCCCAGCTCCCAGTGGCCCATCGGGACCTCTCCTGAGGGTCCATGGGTTTTTTCTTCTTCCACCTGTCCAGTGTGGTGGATGGAGATCAAGGGCTGGATGGGGCAGCAGGTGCCTACCCCTACAAGGCCGTGCCAGGTCACGTCACGGGACTCAGTTCTGCTATGGGCTGGCCTGACCCACAGCCAGCCATGACCCCTGAAGAGACCACTGAACGATGGGTGGTCACTAGGACCCTGTCCATCCACCATTCACTGAATCTCCCTCCCCTCCCCCTTCTCAGGTGTTTGGGAAAATTGCCCTGAATGACACCACAGAGATCAACCGGAACAACAACTTCCAGACCTTCCCCCAAGCTGTGCTGCTTCTCTTCAGGTGAGTCTCTGAGGACAGATGGATACGAACACACCTACATGACGCAGCCCTGTGGTCTGGACATAGAATGAGAGGGAACCGTTCCAGGGGAGTGGGAAGGGAGAGAACGGATGCTGGATCTCCCTCCCTAGACTAGAGAGCTGGCATTCCATTGCTATTTGTAATACTTTCCATTGAGTGGCCCACTAGTCACCGACATACCTGCCAGCAACCACCCAAAAACACTAGAGGATCACAAGTCGAATACTGACAGCACCCTGGTCTGGACAGCACCTTGGCTCAAAGCCACGCCTGTGACACATTCGCTTTGGGTAAGACACCAAACTCCTCTGAGTCTCGGTTCCCTCGCAAACAAGTACAGCTGCCAACGTCGATGCCATTTGCTCTGTTGGTTACCATGACCTCATGCACTTAGTATCCTCCTCAGTTAAGCCAGCCATGAGCCTTCACCCTTCTCAGAAGGCTACCGCCTCAGGCCTAACTGGGGAAGACTGTTTCTCAGCCTGCTCCTGACTGAGGGAGTCCATGCTGCAGCCTGCTTCTTCCTCATCGGACTCCTGATGACCCCCTTGCTCTGCCCCCTTGGTTCTTCTCACTCTCCTGGGCTGCTGGAGGAGACCATCTAGACCATCTAGACCAGGGCTGGGAGATGAGAACTATTTACCCCATCCTTGGAACAGATGATTTCTAAAGCCCATTCCAGCTCATGTACTCTACGTAATATGGCACTGGGAGAGGCAGTGAACTCCCTACCATTCCCTGGGGTCTCTCTCCAGAAGATCCAGAGATCCACTCTATCAGATAGCTCTACCTTCACCAAGTTCTATAGAATCCTTTTCCCACACCCAAGCCCAAGTATCATTATTGCTCAAAGTGTATTAAATCAAAATGATAGCTCTTTAAATATCAGTTAGACATTACCACCTACCTCGGATTGTAGACTTTGAGAACAGAAAGGCCACTGTAAACCACAATTTAACAGCAACACTTAAGCCTCTGCCATATTTAAATATCAGAGCTGAATGCAGATATAAGACTGAGCACATGACTCTATCTCCCCTCCTTTCCTAAAGTCCTTGATGACAGAAGATATTTCTTAAAAGAATAAACCCATAACAGTACTAAGAAGGGAAAAAAAAAAACCATGGAAGAATGCTATTAATGAACCAGGAATGCTGAGGAATTTCTAAGTGGAAGAAACCAGAAGGGATTCAATTGACAAAGGAACAAGATCTGAGGAAAACCTATCCCGAACAATGCATGGTCTATGGAGGAAGTGAGAGCAGTTCCAGGATCGACAGGTAAAAGGTCCAGGAATGACCTGGAGCCACAAAGAGGCTGGCCCCTCAAGAGACCTGTGTTTGCAGAGCAGTTGCTAAGGCTCACAAGCTGAAAGCAGCAGCTCTTGACATCACGCCCCTGGGCTTTGGGGTCTGAAAAGTAGAGTAGGTCCTCCCGAGGAACCCCACCCTCAAAGATGTGCTACCTGCCCACCTCACCTGTTGGCACATGTTCTCTTTCCCTTTCTTCCACGATCCTCAGAGAGGCCCTGTAATGAAAATTTGATCCACAGAGGTGTGAACTGGGCCCTCAATCACAAAGAACAGTCAATAATAATCCCAAAGTATTTGGGGGAAACGAATATCAATAAAGAAAGGCACCATGCTCAACTCGCAGATGAATGAGCACATGAGGAGGAAAAAGAACATATAAAGCCAGAAGACTTGAAAATAAATATAATTCCTATCTTTAGAGAGGTCGCAGAGCATATCTGTTGAATTAAAAAGCAGGAGGCAGAGAAAAAGTCATTATTATTAAGAACAAATTAAAGAGGGAACTCAGAAAAACATCCTTGTTGAAATATTCAGAAAATGGGCACAGCTAAAGAATGAAATAATGAGCTAAAGGATCAAATCTAGGGTTCTCTCAGTACACAGCCAAAAGGACAGAAAGATTGAAAATATAAAATAAAAGTTAACACATGGAGGGTAGAGCTGAAAATCCCATCTTTCTAATACAAGTTCAAGTAAAAACAACAGAATGAATGGAGAGAATGAAATCAAGGAATGATCAAAGAAAATTTCAAATAAAGATATGAGCCTTCAGGTTAAAATGGCCTACTAAGTGCAGAATAGGTTTGTCAAAAAGTCCCTTCATCAGACACAGTATAAGGAAGTTTTAGAATACCAAGAATAAAGAAAATATCCTAGAAGCATCCAAAGAGAAAAAAGTGAATTATTTTCAAAAATACCAATTTTCATTAGACTTCTCAATAGCAAAAGTACATACTAGAAGACAAATAATGTATGCAATATTATGAAGAAAACATATTTTTGAACCAAGATGCCTGTAATACAGCCTAATTAGCATTCAAGTAACAAAGTAAAATTGATTCCAAAAGTGTAGGAACCCAGAAAGTTTACTCCCTTGCATAAACCTCTCAAACAACTACACAAGGATGTACTTCTAAAGAATGAAAAATTAATCTAAGAAATTGAATGAACAGAGTAATGATATTAGTAAAGAAACCATAAAGTTTATAGTTATGAGCAAAGAAATCACAAACCTTATATTAAGTCTAAATAATTGTTAAGGGTGGTATTAGTTATTAAATAATTATTGCTAATTTTTAGGTATAATAATTACTTTGTGGTTATGTAAAATGTATTGCTTTATTTTTGAGATGCATATTGAAGTATTTAGGGCTGATATAATGATACTACATGAGGTGTGGGATTTGCTTTAAAATATTCCATCATGGGGGCACCTGGGTGGCTCAGTCTTTAAGCATCTGCCTTCAGCTCAGGCCATGATCCCAGGGTCCTGGGATCTAGCCCCGCATCGGGCTCCCTGCTCCGTGGGAAGCCTGCTTCTCCCTCTCCCACTCCCCCTGCTTGTGTTCCCTCTCTCGCTGTGTCTCTCTCTGTCAAATAAATAAAATCTTTAAAAAAAAATTTTTTTTTAAATAAAATATTCTATCATGGAGATAAAAGATACAGAACAGGGAATATAGTCAGTGGTACTGTAATACTGTTGTATGGTGACAGATGGCGGCTACACTCGTGGTGAGCAGAGCATAATGTATAGATTTGTTGAATCACTATGTTGTACACCTGAAACTAATGTAACATTGTGTGTCAATTCTCAATTTTTTTAAAAAGATTTATTTATTCATTTTAGAGAGAGAGGGAGAGAGAGTGTGTGTGCAAGGGGAGGGGCAGAGGGAGAAGGAGAGAAGCAGACTCCCCCCTGAGGAGAGAGCCCCGTGCTAGGCCCCACCCTGGGCTCAGGCTCAGGCTCCATCTCAGGATCCTGAAATCATGACATGAGCTAAAATCAGGAGTTGGATGCCTAACCAACTGAGTCACCCAGGTGCCCCTCCTCTTTCAATTTTTTTAAAAGTTGAGAGTGCAAAAGAATAAAATAAAATAAAATAGTAAAATAAAATAAAATAAATAAAATACTTCAGCTAAAAGGGGAGAAGGGGATTGTTGGGGAGATAGATGAAACACACACAACAAAATATTAATGGTTGTTAAGATTGGGTGATGGGTACATGGGGTTTCTTTGTACTTTCTACTTTTGTATATGGTTGAAAACTTTTGTAATTAATTTTTTAATAAAAAATAATAACTGTTAAAGCAAAATGTCCAAAACCTTAATAGCAGTTTGGAAGTGAAATTTCTTACACTCTCAACAAGGTAAGAAGAATGAGAAACATCAAAGTGTGCTGACATTCTTCCCTTGTTTATGGAGAGGAAAGAGGTACCGTTCAACTTTATACAAAGTCAGAGGAAAATGTGTAAATAGATATATTAAATATTTGAAGGTCAACCACTAGAGAAACAGAAATGGAATATGTACATTCCAAATCACTAAATGGAAAAAAAAAAAAACAGCAAGGGAAAACCTTAGCAATTCTGCAAAAGGAAGGAAAGACAAAAGAAGGAAGGTGGGGGAGAGGGAGGAAAACAAAATTAGAAAATAAAACAAGATGGCAGGAATAAAAAACAAAAATTAATCACTAAAAATTCAATTTCTCTATTAAAAGATAGATACTCTAATGTTGGCTTTAAGAAGCCTGGCTGTAGCCTGTTTATAATAGAGTAAAATAAAGGAATGGGAAAATAAAGGAATGGAAAAAGAATACCAGACAAAGCTTCCAAAAAAAAAAAATAGGTGTAGTAATAACAACATCAGAAGAAATAAAATTCCAGGTGAAAGGCATTAAACAATACAAAGAGGGATATTTGATATTGATAAAAGGTATAATCCACCAAGATTACAAAACAATCATAAAACTACATGAGCCTAACAATATAGTTTGGAAATATATCAAGGAGACTAAAAGAACAGTAAGGAAAATATGAACACACACACACACACACACACACACACACACACACACACACAGTGGGAGACATGTAAAAAAAAAATGACAGAGCAAACAGAACAAAATAAAAGAAAACGTATAGAATATCTAAAAATACAACTGACAAATTTAAGTAAATTTGTAATCAATAGATAGCAAAAAAAATTTCTTTTTTTTTTAAGATTTTATCTATTTATTCGACAGAGAAAGTGAGAGAGTACAAACAGGGGGGAGCAGTAGAAGGAGAGGGAGAAGCAGGCTTCCCGCTGAGCAGGGAGCCCGACACAAGGCTCGATCCCAAGACCCTGAGATCATGACCTGAGCCGAAGGCAGCACTTAACCATCTGAGCCACCCAGGCACCCCAAAAATACATTCTTTTTAAGCACCCAGAAACATTCAGAAAAATCAGCCAAGATTTAAGTCACAAAGAAGAATTCAATAAATTCTAAAACTTCTCTAACTTCAATACAACAAAAATCAGAAATAAACCACAAAATCAGTAGTCCCTCCAAAATCTATCCACTTAAATGTTTTGAGTCACTGTTCTAAATAACTCACAGCTGAAGCTGCATACTTCTTAAAAATGAAAGAGTGAGAGCAGTACATCTTAAATTTATAAAATGCGGG